AATACGGACCTGGGGCCCGGTACACTATAACACATATAACTGGCTGTCTTGTTTTCCACGTTGCAAGCTGATTAGTTTCATCTGGTTTGATCGATATATATAATTGAGTATCATCTGCATAACAATGAAAGGTTATAGAGTGTTTTCTGATAATATTGCCTAAAGGAAGCATATATAAGATGAACAAGATTGGTCCAAGCACAGAACCTTGTGGAACTCCATAATTGACGTTGGACTTCATCGAGGCTTCATCGTTTACATAAACAAACTGAGATCGATCCGATAAATTGGATCCAAACCAGTTCAGTGCGGTTCCCTTGATGCCAATATAATGTTCTAGTCTCTGCAACAGAATGTAGTGGTCTATAGTGTCGAACGCAGCACTAAGGTCTAACAGGACAAGAACAGAGACTAGTCCTTTGTCTGATGCGATTAGAATGTCATTAGTTATTTTTACCAGAGCTGTCTCTGTGCTATGATGCTTTCTAAATCCTGACTGAAAATCCTCAAATAAACTATTGTTACGTAGAAAGTCACACAACTGATTTGCAACTGCTTTCTCAAGGATCTTAGAGAGAAAGGGAAGGTTAGAGATCGGTCTGTAGTTGACCAACACCTCTGGATCGAGAGTGGGCTTCTTAAGAAGAGGTTTAATTACAGCTATTTTGAAGGACTGTGGTACATGGCCTGTTAAAAAAGACAGGTTGATCATATCTAATAAAGTCGTGCTAATTAATGGTAGCACTTCTTTAAGCAGCCTAGTCGGTATAGGGTCTAAGAGACAGGTAGAAGGTTTAGACGTAGAAATTGTTGAAGTCATTTTGTCAAGGTCGATGGGAGTAAAGCCATCTAAACATATATCAGGGTTTACAGCTGTTTCTAAGGTTACTCTATTTGTGGAAAGATCGGTACTAGTCGAGGGCAGTACATTGTTTATGTTCTCTCTAATAGCTATAATCTTATCATTAAAGAAGTTCATGAAGTCATTGCTACTGAGGTCTATAGGGATACTCGGCACAACAGAGCTGTGACTCTCTGTCAGCCTGGCTACAGTGCTGAAGAGAAACCTGGGGTTGTTCTCATTTTTCTCTATTAACGATGAGTAATAAGCTGCTCTGGCATTACGGAGGGCCTTCTTATACGTTTTAAGACTGTCTCGCCAGACTAACCGAGATTCTTCCAAATTATTGGAACGCCATGTTCTTTCAAGTTTTCGCGATGTTTGCTTTATTTTGCGGGTTTGAGGGTTACACCATGGAGCGAACCTCCTTTGTTTTACTAACTTCTTTTTTAAAAGAGCAATAGAGTCTAGTGTCCTTCTCAGTGAGCTTGTAGCACTATCGACAAGATGATCAATCTGGATAGGACTAAAGTTATCACAGGAGTCCTCTGTTATATTGAAGCATGGTATTGAGTTAAATAAAGACGGAATCGCTTCTTTAAATTGAGCTACGGTACCATCAGATAAACATCTAGTGTAGTAACTCTTGCTTACCGGTGTACACTCCGTTAGTAGGAATTCAAAGGTTATTAGATAATGATCCGATAAAAGAGGGTTCTGTGGAAAGACTGTTAAATCTTCTATGTTAATGCCATAAGTCAGAACCAGGTCGAGGTTGTGGTTAAAACAGTGAGTGGGTTTCTGTACATTCTGACAGAAACCAATCAAATCTAATAATACGATGAATGCAGTACTGAGGCTATTGTTCTCGACATCCACATGAATATTAAAGTCACCTACAATAATTACTTTATCTGTTTTAAGGACTAGACTTGATAAAAACTGAGAAAATTCAGATAGAAATTCAGAATACGGACCTGGGGCCCGGTACACTATAACACATATAACTGGCTGTATTGTTTTCCACGTTGGGTGTGAAAGACTAAGAACCAGGCTTTCAAATGTGTTATAATCTAGTTTAGGTTCAGGGTTTAATAATAGGCTTGAGTCAAAGATGGCTGCTACTCCACCTCCTGGGCCGGTGCCTCAAGGAATGTGAGTGTCGTTGTGTCGTTGTTATTCCTGTATCTTGTTGCGTTAAGTTACTGTTGTGTTATAACGGGTTATTGCGCCAGCATCGCGGACCACGGAGTCCCGTTATATTGTGTATTTCCTGCTGTAACCGTTCGCATTAGATCCGTCGCTGCTAGTGGATGTGGAGCTTGTGATTCTATCACTTTAAAGACTAAAACCACGGTGGCCGACTCTCGTCTGGCCGACCGAGTTTCGGGGTGATAGGGAGACAAACTCGCATTTCACCGCAGTGACAAAGATCTGTTTGTTTTGGGGATTCTTTTATTTTGTTTTTGGTTTTATTCTCTC